TTTTTGGAATAGTTTGAGGAGACTAGGTATTAACTCTTTTTTGAATGTTTTGTAAAATTCACCTATGAAGCCATCTGGTCCAGGACTTTTGTTTGTTGGAAGCTTGTTGATTACTGATTCAGTTTCTTTGGTAGTAATCAGTCTGTTCAGAGTTTCTGTTTCTTCTTGTTTCAGACTTGGTAGATTGTATGCTTCTGGAAATTTATCCATTTCTTCCAGATTGTCAAATTTGTTGGCATATAGTTTCTCGTAGTATTTTCTTACAATTTTCTGTATTTCTGTGGTATCTGTTGTCACTTCTCCTCTTTCATTTCTGATTTTATTAATTTGGGTCCTCTCTTTTTCTTGGTGAGTCTGGCTAGGGGTTTGTCGATTTTGTTTATCTTTTCAAAAAACCAGCTCTTGGTTTCATTGATCTTTTGTATTGCTTTTTTGGTCTCTATTTCAATTATTTCTGCTCTGCTCTTTATTATTTCTTTCCTTGTATTCCCTTTGGGCTTGTTTTGCTGTTCTTTTTCCAGTTCCCTTAGGTGTAAAGATAGTCTGTTGATTTGAGATTGTTCTTGTTTCTTTAGATAAGCCTGCATTGCTATGAATTTCTGTCTTAGGACTGCTTTTGCTGCATCCCATAGATTTTGGGTTGTTGTGTTTTCATTTCGTTTGTCTTAAGATAGCTTTTGATTTGTTCCTTGATCTCATTTTTTACCCACTCATTATTTAGTAGCATGTTATTCAGCCTCATGTATTTGTGTGCTTTCCGGGTTTCTTCTTATAATTGATTTCTAGTTTCATAGCATTGTGGTCAGAGAAGATGCTTCATATGATTTCAGTCTTTTTAAATTTATTGAGACTTGTTTTGTGGCCTAACATGTGGTTTATCTTGGAAAATGCTCCATGTGCACTTGAGAAGAATGTATATTCTGTTGCTTTGGGGTGAAATGCTCTGAAAATATCAATTAAATACAGCTGGTCTACAGTGTCATTTAAGGCCACTGTTTCCATGTTGATTTTCTGTCTGGAGGATCTATCCATTGGTGACAACGGGGTGTTGAAGTCCCCTGCTACGATAGTGTTACTGTTTATTTCTGTCTTCATGTCTGTCAAAATCTGTTTCATTTGTTTAGGAGCTCCTATGTTGGGTGCATAACTGTTTACTAGGGTTATGTCCCCTTGTTAAATCGATCCCTTTATTATTATGTAGTGCCCTTCTTTGTCTTTTTATTGTAATCTTCATTTTGAAGTCTATTTTGTCTGAAATAAGTATTGCTACTCCACATTTTATCTCATTTCTATTTGCATGAAATATCTTATTTCATCCCTTTACTTTCAGTCTGTGTGTATCTTTTGATCTAAGATGAATCTGTTGTAAACAGCATATGTATGGGTCCTGTTTTCTTATCCACTCAGCCACTCTATGACTTTTGATTAGAGCATGTAGCCCATTCACATTTAAAGTGATTATTGATAGATGCATATTTATTACCATTTTGGTATTTGTATTTCTGGTCTTCCTGGGTTAGCTTGTTTTCCCTTTTCTTCTGTTTAAAGAAACCCTTTTAACATTTCCTGCAATGCTGGCTTGGTGGTAATGAATTCCCTAAGCATATTCTTTTCTGAGAAGCTCTTTATCTCTCCTTCAATTTTAAGTGATAACTGTGCTGGGTAGAGCAATCTTGGTTGTAAGCCTTTAATTTGCATCATTTTAAATATTTCCTGCCACTCCCTTTGGGTCTGCAGAGTTTCTGTAGAAAAGTCAGCTGTTAGTTGTATAGGAGTTCGTTTGTATGTAACCTGCTGTCTTTCTCATGCTGCTTTTAGGATTCTGTCTTTGTCTTTAACCTTTGCCATTTTAACTATGATGTGTCTTGGTGTGGACCTGTTTAGGTTCAGCTTGTTTGGAACTCTCTGTACTTCCTGGGCTTGTATGTCCATTTCCTTCACCAGAGTAGGGAAGTTCTCAGTCATTATTTCTTCAAATACATTCTCGATCCCTTGCTGCTGCTCTCCTCCTTTTGGTATTCCTATGATGCGAATATTGTTGTGCTTGATGTTGTCCCACAGGTCTCTTAAACTGTTTTCATTGCTTTTTATTCTTTTTTCTTTTTGTTGTTCCAACTGCGTGGTTTCTGCTATTTTGTCTTCTAAATCGCTGATCTGATCCTCTGCTTCATTTAATCTACTGGTGATTCCTTCGAGTTATTGTATTCTTTTTATTCTCCATTTCAGTTATTGTATTCTTTAGTTCTAACTGGTTGTTTTTTATGGTTTCCCTATCTTTATGTCCGCACTAAGTTCCTTAAACATTTTTATCATCAGTGTTCTAAACTCTGTCTCTGAAAGGTTGGATACCTCTGTTTCATTTAGTTCCATTTCTAGAGGTTTCTTCTGACCTTTTACTTGGGACATGTTTCTTTGTTTCTTCATTCTGGCTGTCGCTCTGTCATTGCTTCGATGTATTAGATAGATCACCTAAAAAAGAAAAAAAGGGGGGGGGCAGCTCCACACCTGCTTTAATCTGAAGACCACTTGCTCAGCAATAGAGAGACTGGGCGACTCAGCACCAGCTGTTGGGGGGAAGGGCTGAACGTGTCATGTGCCAGCCTCTCTCTCAGGCTTGCAGTGAGCTTCCCGCAATTAGCTGCTGTGTACTCTGGACCCATGCTCACCACCAAAAATCCTCACAGGTTGCTGTGGGCTGTTTGCTGCTGCAAAAAACCCTCTGTGGCCTGTGGAGGTGGGGGCCAGGTACCAGGGGCTCAGGGTGCCCCCAGTCACACAGCTCTAGGTGGGCGGGACAGGCCCCCAATGCACCACAAGATGTGGTCAGTGGCCCCCACCAAGTCAGAGCAGCATGCACTCTTGCACCGGCAACTAGCCCACGCAAACTCGCCAGGAAAGCCCTGGCCGAATCACGCAGGCACACAGTTCACGGCCCAACACTCCCAGGAAAACTCTCAGTCTCAGCCTGTTCCAATCAGCTGCTTGCGAATCAGGCAGAGCACACACAGTATGGAGAGCGGGGACCCAAGGCAGCTCACACACTCCCACATCTCAATGAACAGCCTGTTGGAGCCAGAGTGCACCCGCCAGGCATTTCCCTGGCTACACAGCACAAGCAGTGCGGAGGGTGGGGATCCAAGGCCACGTGCGCATCCATGCACACACACACTTCTGTGCCAATTCCAACAGACCATTGCGGTCCCGGACCTGAGCCTCTGTGGGAGGGCCCAACCCTGAAAAAATGGCACCCTCCTATACACTACTCGTGTGCAAACTCCACACCAGGGGAACAATGGTCCCAAAACCTCCAGCTCCCGCACCAAAGGCGTTCAGTTCAGTCCTTCCCCGCAGGCTCCTGGGCCCCGCTCACACAGCTACTCCCTCCACCAGGGACCGGGTGAGTGCTCACCAGCAAGTCCGTGTGCCAGCTCCACTGGTTCTCTAGCCGCCCTCACCTCACCAAGTTGAGCAGAGTCCTCATTAATTTCTAATGCCAGCTATCGTAGAACTCCTCTTCCCAGCAAAGTAACTCTGGGCTGGTGAGCGGGGTGTGGGACCAGAGGGTCTCTCCCCCAACCAGAGGAGCCTCCCCACTGCTCAGGTGTCTCTCACAGGGTTCGCCCTCTCTCGTCTCTGCCCCTCCTACCAGACTCGATGTGGCCTCTTCTTTAAGTCTTTTGTTTTAGAGGTTCTGTTCATCTAGTGTTCAGGGGACTTCTGAGGTTGAATGTTGCATAAATTATTTGTAATTTTGGTGTGATCCTAGGAGGCAGTTGGCACAGCATCTGTCTATTCCGCCATCTTACCGGAAGTCCTTGTCTTGTATCTTTTTGATGAAATATAAGTTTCATGTGGTCAAAGACTGAGTCCTTTTCATTGTAGTTACCTCGATTTTACAGTAATAAGTTCTCAATAAATGTGTATTACATTGAACTAAATTTCCCAAGTGGCTATGAGAAACCAGGTTCCTGCTGAACAGGGAGGCAGGGGTGTTTGTTTTCGAGGGAATGGCCAGTGTCTCAGCTTGCTGAGTGCCAGGAAATATCCCTCATAGTGAACCACAGTCAGAATGCTTTTCTTATTTCAGGGATTCATAAATCAGATAGATGATCCTATACTAAATAGAGCCAGTCTCACTATCTCCAAATCCATTATTTAACTGAAACTTTGCATTGTAAGGTTGCCCTGTCAGCTTGAGCTCTGAGCCAGACCAGAGGAAGTATGTAAGAGATGCAGACCCAGGTAGAAGAGAGGACCCCAGGTCCATGTAACAGTAACAGCTTCCTGCTGAGCTGCAGGGAGGGTGGGGAGAATAGGAGGATGGGGTAAGACATTAACGGGTACAACTGCCTGCCCACACCCTATAGGGCATCTGAGGGATTAGTCAGTAGTTGCAGCCTCCTTTCCTGTGCAGTATCTGGAAGTGGTCAGTGGTTCCTAATAGCAGGTAAATAAATGCTAATCTCCTTCCTGAAAGCCCTTCACTCATTGCAGATTTATCCTTAGCATGTGTCCTGATGGTCACACGGGTACTAGAGTCAAGTTTGTCCCATATTGATCTGACCTGAGACTGTGCATCTCCCATCCTAATCACTTCCATCCTCTCATCTGTAACATTTTCAAACAGTAGTGCCTTGGTTGGAGGGAAAGAACCCTTCGAACATTCTTTTTACATTTAATGGCGATCCTTCTTCGATCAGGCTCAGCCAGACCCTCATCCTTGTGGCTAGTCTGTTAAGCCCCTGTGTATGTACTTAGGGAAGTGTTATTCCCTATTGTGACCAGGGGCTGCGGTCTCCTCCTAGGTCCTGATCAGGATCACCCCAAGCTCTGCTCCCTCTGTCTTTGCTTTAGAGTTTGGAGAATGAAATTCTTGGCAATGCTTTATTGCCCCGACATTACTGGAAGTTTCCAATTAGGAGAAAGTATGTTTCATGATGTGTTTAACAATAAATCCCCTCCCCAGGTGACTAATGGGATGTGCCCTCTTCCCCCAACAGGCGCAAAGGGTGCACAAGAAGTTTCCTAAACCCAAAAGAGCTCACCGCTCCTCGGCGCAGAAAGTTCATGCTATGCCTTCCCCTAGTGCCACCACCCCGAGCCGTACCCCTGGCAGAGGCCAGCGGCCTCTGCTGGACAGTCCACACCTGGAGCCCAGCCAGATGGTCCTGCCTGCTGAGCACCGACAGGAATTCACCAGACGAGCCAGCAGCACCCCCAGCCTTTCCTGGTCTTTCCAGAGAAGCAAGTCCTTGTTTTGTTTACCCACTGAAGACCCCTCCCCAGCCTCCTCGGCTGTACCAGGATGGTTTTCAAACACAGGTGCCCCAGGGCACTGGGCGTCAGAATGCAGGCACACCCACCCCCTCTCCATTGATGACTTAGAGGGGGCCCAGGAAACGGACGTGGACACAGGCCTGCGGCTGTCCTCCTCAGACCTGTCTGTGGTCTCTGCGTATTCCGCACCCAGTAGATTCTGCAGCTCCTTGGAAACACCCCTCCCCTATGAAAGGTGTGGCAGCCACTGGCCCATGCACAAGGGTTCCATAGAAGAACCGCTGCCCGCTGGGAGCGTGGTGACCACGGAGACCTCCCGGGCTTCCCTCCCTTTCTTCACTAAAAGGCCTTCCAGCTCCTCGGCCACAGCGGTTGCTGCTGCCCCAGCGTCTAGTGCCGCCTCACTCCCAGAGTCATCCCCCAAGCTCTCTGGTGATGCTCCCAATGCCGAGTGGACAGGCAGAGACGTTCTACCACCCTTAGCATTGGCTGGACCCGGGGACAATGACACTGAGGAATTCTACATCTGAACACCTTTTACTCTGGTTTTTCAGGCACAGGGCTCAGGCCCCACGGCCCCTCTGGGGTCTGAACACCGCCCCTGTTCTCAGCCCAGCTTTCCCAGATCTGTCTGGAACCTAATTATCTGTTTCATGGGGCTCGTTAGCACACTTGCCATGCCACCCATGCTTACCTGAGAGGTGGTATATTTCTAGGGACTCTGGGAAAATACTGGCATTTTTAAGCAAATAAATTCTCAAGAAACTTAAGTCGTAAAATATATTTTTTGAACACTCAATTCTATTTGAGATATGGTTGAGTGTGCTTATACAATTTAAATGCTTCATATAATTATTTTAAATGAAAAGAAAACCTATTCAGCCAGAGCCAATTTGGCAGTTTTTCTTGCTGTAAAGGAAAAACAACTAAAGCCAAAATGTTGAATGTGGGAAAGATACTAAGTGACTTGTATGAGAGATTAGTGCACAGTAACATAATATACAACTTACTGGGTTCTCCAGATAGATTTGCACTACCAGGGAACAGCGACCCTAAGAATTTCCAAGCACTGCGTATGGTGAAAAAAGTCCACTTGTTAAGACAGCTGTAAACATATCAGACTACAGTAATACCTCAACTTGATGCCATGCAACATCTGAAAATCTGGATGTACACTAAAGTGGCAAGTATGCTTTATAAAGATTTTGCATGAGTCACAGATTTTTGGTGCATTTAAAATATGATTTGAGTTCCAAAAACTAGATTTGCCTCCACCTCTCGACAATATATTCACTGTCACAAGTGAGGGGCTACAGAAGACCCCTCCACCACCTGGATGTATGTGGATCACTGAGGAAGAATCCATCATTAGTTACAGAATAATAAGATTTAGGCATAGTGGGCAGGTAGTCTTAGGATTCTTCCATTTTAAAAACCACAATCTAAGGGCTATATATGTATATATCTATAGAAATCACAGGAGCCACATTTTATACTGCTTTCTCCAGTAAAATGTATTGTCATCCTGTCTTCTTCATTTTTAAATAGCTTGTAACATTTTAACTGGCATGTCGAATGCACAGATTAATAAATGCCCCCCTCTTCTCCAAATGGGCAGCTTTACACGACGTGCTCCCCTGAACAAATACTGTCGCGTAGATAGCCTTGCATGAGTGCACAGGAGCCTTAATCAAAGCCGGAGCTCTCGCCCGACCGTGGCCCTTCCTGCCTGTTTGTCGGCTTCTGTCCCAGTGTGAATGGTATTTACATTTCACCCCTCTCCCACTCCCGTAAGGGTATGTTTACAGTTCCAACCTCAGCAATGCCAAGTGTGGGCATCGGGAGCAATGCCAAGCTCTCTCTCTGGTTGCTGTTTACCTTTGGGGAAGCAGAGCACGGATTCGCCTCGCTCATTTCCCAATCTGGTGCTCTCTGTTTAAATGTTCACCTCCCTGGAAGTGCCCACACCAGCCCCGACACAGCCCAGCATCGTCAACACGGCCCTTCTGGCAGCTGTTACCAACCATCAGACTTGCGCTGAAGCCTCAATCATTGCCATACCTGCAATGAGAGCCTTAGATCCTGCCCCCAGCATCCTGGATGTTCCAAAACTCCGAATTATCATATTCTGCTCCAGTTTAAGTAAATAAAAATATGGTCTTTTATAATTTCTAGACCAGGAGTGAGCAAACTTTCTGGGAAGGGCTAGATAATAAATATCTTAGGCTTTGCTAGCCAACTGGTCTCTGTCAAAACTGCTCAACTCTGCCATTATAGCATGAAAACAGCTGCGGATAATAGGTAAATGAGTGGGCATGGCTTAGTTCCAATCAAACTTTATTTATAAGAAAAGGTGGAGGGCCAGATTTGTCCCAAGTGTTGTAGTTTGCCAATCCTTGTGCTAGACTGAGGCAGATTTAAGATCCCAGCCAGTCGGCAATAAAGAATCTAGGTCTGCAGCCCTCTGTGCTGTGATACATGAGGCTAACAGAGTGAGGTCCTCAGGTAATGCCAATGGCTACAGAACTACAGGGCGCAGATCGGGGAGGGGCTTCTTTTTGCAGAGATGATTCCTAGAAAACCACTAGCTTGTGCACCTCCTGCCTGAAAATATGACAGTCAGTAGCTGATGATGAAAAGCAACATGCTAACGTTAGGAAGGAAGAGAAAACTAACTTTGAGGTGTCTATTGCAAGGACCTTCTTCACTGCCAGTTATCATGGGATAGCAGCACTGAATACTGTAGACATTCACTTTGCTCAGTAACACTTGAACTGTTGCAGTATTTGATTATCCATCTGGTTGTTACAGAAAAATTCTAACCGTAATTGATGGTTGTTGCCATAATAGTACATTGCCTGTATTTCTACCTCTAGTAATGGGCTTTATGCGCCCAAGGATTTTTAAATCCTTGAGCCTGGGCAAGTAAACAAGTCTTTTTAAAAGAAACCTGGTATACTAGCACAAAACTGATCAATTTTGAGAAATCGTTAATGCTCTTGAAGTGGTTTTTGTGGGTATGAAACAAATGGTGAGAATTTGAATTGGTCCCTCTTATTATAGTATTGAAATTAAGTTTACTTAATTTATCATGTCATGTTCATGCCCTGATTTTATATACTTGTATCTATCAATAAACATTGTGATAGTTGATTTAAAAAAAAACAAAGGAAAAGAAAAGCAACATGCTAAAGTTAGGGAAGAGGAGAAAAATAACTTAGAGGTATGACGCAGCCTCCAAGGAAGAGGGCGGGAGTAGCAAGTCAACGAGGCGTGAGTGGACCACCTGCCACGTGATGGCTCCCCCGTCTTCATCCTTAATCAGTACGCTTAGTTTAGTGTACTCGCATGCACCCCTAGGATCGATCACCTTAGAGCCCAACTCTGATGCTCCCTGGTCCCACCCTTTTTCAGTGACCCACTCGCAGCACAGTCCATTCAACCAAACCTACTCCAAAGGATGTCAACACCACCATTAAAAAGCAGAAAAAGATGCCACCATAACACAGAGAAGGGACGAAAGCTCACGACAGACCACATTCAGGCCCTGCCCTACCCTACCCTACCCTCCAGTGCTTTGGTCGGAAACGGCAGTCACTCCGGAGTAGGAGTCACAGAAACACTTAAGAGAGCCCCAGCTTCCATTTATAGCCATTCACTAGCATTTTCCTCTTCCACAGCGGCTCCTGACACCCACTGGTAGATCTGACTCTTGGATTAGTATTGTGATAGATGCTGGCATACTGTAGGTGCTCAATAAACTTGTTCAATTTAAAAGCATTGAGATTGTCTCATAAATTATTTCTCTCCTGGATTAGGCTCTGTGATGTAGGAAACCTAGGTTTTGAGCCCTATTATTTTTGACATTTAATGGAACCCAGTTCGCTCCCCACCCCCCACCCTGCTTGCCCCAGAAGGGTCATGTTAGTAAGTGACCTGGCCTAGCTCAAAGCTCATCCCTTATTTAACGCTTTTCCAAATAAGACTCCCTAGAATTACAGCTCACAGTCCCACCGTGACCTACCCTAAATACTGCTTCGTATCTGCTTTAAAGATCAAACATTTCTCACGGTGGTCCCTAACTGACCTGCTGAGCCCTATAGAAATCATCTTGGGTCACCCGTGGAGGTGGGGCTGGAAGCCACTGAAGAGGCTTTTGTGATGTTGGGAAAGCTGATGTGGGTTGTAGTGCTGGATGCCCCTTGGGCCCAGGGGCCCAACAGCAGAGAAACAGTCACATGGAAGTCTAGTGCACTGTCTAGTGCATTCCAGGTGAAGTCAAATGGTTACCTTTATCAAGAAGACATTTGGGTTCATGGCTGTCATCTTCAGCCCCAGGTAAATCAGGAGAAATGCATATATATATATATATATATATATATATATATTCCTATCCTCCTACTGGGCTTTCTGTAGATGAGCAAATTCTCCAATCCATCAGGTAAGAGGCACATGGGTAGACTCAATTCCTAGAAGAGATTCTTAAAGGCAAATAAAACTAACTGTGGAGAATTTCTCCCTCCCAAACCCCCAGAACAGTCTCAATGACCAGTTCTGGCCAGTGATCCCAGGACTGAACTTCAAGAGAGCAGAGGAAACAGCTGAATAAGTCACCTTCTACATCTCTGCCCAAGGCCACATTGCTCCACGTGTCTGGTCTGGACATAAATGTCCCCTTCTGATTTGTAGGGTTCTGCTTTTCATTAATCCTCTGGAAATATAATTGATCAGATACTTCTCAAGCAGAGGCTTGAGAAAATAAGAGAAATCAACATAAATAAAAATGAATTCTCAAAACATCTTTTGTCACAATTATTATAACAAATAGATTCATGAGGGGTCAAGAACCTGAATTTAAAGATTTTTATATAATTACATTTTTCCATCTTCTACTGAAGGCTTTTTTCTAATCTTGGGCATAGAGGCCTAGATACAAAATGACTTAAAATGACTTAAGTTATCTGAGTGAATAATGGAGGCAAACATGAATGATAATGTTGGCACACTTGGGTCTCTTTCAGGGTCAGTTTCTGTTTTAGAGATGTGATAACTATTGTCCAGTGATGTGACCACTTTAGGAGCAATGTATTCATTTCAGACAGAAATCACCAGAACATTGGGTGAAGCTGAAAAGGCCTCTGCCTCTACCCCTATGACACCCTCCGTAAACTCTCCATTTGTGCTGAGGGTCCAATTGTCTCAATTGTGTCCAGTTGTCTCAGATGAGGTAGAAAAAATGAAGCTGCTTTTGAGAATGAGGCACAGCCCCCAGCAGGCCTGTTCTGGTTGGGAGTTGCCCCACCCCATTTGAAACATTGATCTTATAAGCTGAGCTTCTGAAAGAAGCTGATTAGGCTCCCTTAGGCCGGCTTTGCCCAGTCCCCAGTACAATTTGGACAGGGGCCACTCACAATGTGTGTGGCACAGTTCAAGCAATGGCCTGCTGAATAGAAGAAACACTTTCAGGTCAAATCGTCTCGCTGAAGATGACTGCAGGAAAGCTTTGGCGCCACCTGGTGGCCACCATGCCCAGGAGGATCAGCAGCTGCCCTTTCTGTTTAAGACTCCACCTGGATGAACAGGAGGGAGGTATTTCAATTCTGTTCATTATTCTGCATCTAAGTATTTATTTCTATAAGGTATTGAAGCAACTTAAATTATAAAGATGTAAGACAATGCAAGTAGAAATAGAAAATCAGGGCTAAGAAAAAAAGTATAAATATGCCCATCATAAAGAAAAACATAACTGCTGTGGATGAATTTCCTAGAAGCCAAAGCAAAGAAGGGAAATGTGAGTAGCTCAGCAGTTATCATTTGTGAGAAGAGAATCTAGCGATGTTGTCTTATTTCATTGTAATTGAAGTTGCCTCAATGTCGTTCCTCAACTTTCTCGGAAGGCGATGTCCATAAGGGATTTTCTCTGTAGGGTTATTAATTTGGTCCAAGTTGGTAGCTTTCTTGATTGGAGGATGAAGTTACAAGACCTGGAGGAGCGAACACAGCCACACACTTTGGACGAGCCTCCCTAGACATCTTCAGCCTCACTGTGAGTACAAGGAAATTTCGCCCTCAACAGAAAGCCTGGAGGCTGGCTTCTTCTGGTCTCTTGAGGCCAAATCTGTACAGTTTGGCAGGTTCAGAACAGGACGCAAGGCTGACATCCTACTGGGAAACTCGAGGTTCCTGCCCATGGTTCTAGCCTGTGTGGGTGGAGAGTCCACAGCTATTGGAGCGCCCTCTGCCTCCTCTGCAGCCCATGCTCTGCTATCGCAAAGTCAACTCCAGTTCTCTAACCTCCTCCAGTTAAGAGACTTCAGGTACTTTGAAACTTCCAGATAAGTTATAAATCTCTTCATCCCGCCCTTCACTGAGATTCCTGAAAAACTGTTAGGAATTTGCATCTCTGCACCTCTTTCTTCATTGCCCTGAGTGGATTTGCTTATTATCACTGAGTCCCACTGTGTGTCAGGCAGTGGGCTAGGTGCTGAGGACCTAGGATTGAATGGGAGAGACATCATCTCTCCCTCGTGGAACTAACCTCCTGTAAGCATCACTGCTATTTACCACTTACCGGTAGATTTTATAGTCCTCCTGATGAATCTGATAGAATTAATCTCTGCTACAGTTAAACATGGAGTCTCAGATTTCAGCATCAAGTATACCTGGCTTCCAATTCTGACTCTGACGCCACCACTCTCACTATGTGAACCTAGGGTAGGTTATTTCACTTTTCTGAGCCTATTTTATGATGCATAAAACATGAACAACATTGGAGGATCATTAGAAAAATAAATGATACAATTTGTACAAAAGTTCCTATACTGCCTGCAACATAACAGGTATTTAATAAAGGTTGATGTTCTTTTTCTTCCCTCGGGCTGCAGAATGGCCGGCCCCATGCCCTACCCGGCAGGCTCCAATCTCCTTCACAGACTCCCTGTGCCGAGTAAGGCAGACAAGGTTGGGCTTCAAAGTGCTCTTTTTTTTTT